GATATGAGGTTAGTGTCATCATAATACTTATTCAGTCCCTGTTTTTGTGGATTGTTCCACTGGACTTCTTCTTAAAGAGGAATTTTAAGAGTCCCCCTTAAAATTTCTTGCAGATCTGTTTTGGTGGTCACATATTCTTTCAGTTCCTGCCTATCTTGGAAGCTCTTTATCTCTCCTTCTATTCTGAATGAAAGCCTTGCTGGATAAAGTATTCTTGGCTGCATGTTCTTCTCATCTAGGACCCTGAATATATCCTGCCAGCCCTTTATGCCCTCCAGGTCTCTGTGGAGAGGTCCGGTGTTAATCTAATATTTCTCCCCTTAAAAGTTAGAGATTTCTTGTCTCTTGCTGCTTTAAGGATCTTCTCTTTGTCTTTGGAATTTGCAAGCTTCACTATTAAATGTCGAGGTGTTGAGCAGTTTTTATTGATTTTGGGGGGGGGATCTCTGTATTTCCTGGATCTGAATGCCTGTTTCCCTTCCCAGATTAGGAAAGTTTTCAGCTATGATTTGTTCAAATACATATTCTGGTTCAAATACATCTCTGTCCCTTTCGGCGCCCTCAGGAACCCCAATTAAATGTAGATTTTTCTTCCTTACGCTGTGTTTTATTTTCCTTAATCTATCCTCATGATCTTTTAATTGTTTTTCTCTTTTTTCCTCAGTTTCCCTCTTTGCCATCAACTTGTCTTCTATGTCATGCACTCGTTCTTCCACCTTGTTAACCCTCGTTATTAGGACCTCTAGTTTGGATTGCATCTCATTTAATTGATTTTTAATTTCTGCCTGATTATATCTAAATCTGCAGTCATGAAGTCTCATGATTCCTTCATGGTTTTTTTTTCAGAGCCACCAGTAGCTGTATAATAGTGCTTCTGAATTGGCTTTCTGACATTGAATTGTAATCCAAATTTTGTAATTCTGTGGGAGAGAGGACTGCTTCTGATTATTTCTTTTGAGGTGAGGTTTTCCTTCTTGTCATTTTGCTCAGTGCAGAGTGGCCAAAAACAAGTTGTACTGGGAAAAGGAGAAAAAGAGAGAAGAGAAGGAAGAAAAAAAAAAAGGAAAAAAAAAAAAAGAAAAGGAAGAAAAGAAAAAAGAAAAAAAGGGGGGGCAGCGGAGGCAAACAGAAATCAAAAAACAAAAAACAAGGGGGAGTATCCTCTGATTCTGTATACTGTAAATCCCTCGACTTCCCCTGGAACTTTCCAGTGCTACTGGGTCAATAATTTGTTTTTCCCCTGTTGGTCGAGCTGGTCATCTGGGGGAGGGGCGTGCTGTGCTGGTTTTTAGGTGTTAGCACTTGGGGGAGCTCCTCAGCCCCCTGCCTTGTGCAGGGCTCAGTGAGTAATGTTTATCCTGTATATCCGGTGAGGCCATCATGAGGCTCAGTGGGGGTTGTTTACCCCGTGAGGCCCCTGGAGGAACAACCACAGTGGCGGGGCCAGCTTTGGAGCCCTGGATTCAGCTCCTGCAGTAACTCTGGAGCTCTCCGTCTGCAGGGGCCTGGATGTTCCCGGGGCGGGGCAGCTGATCTGCTCAGCTCGGGGCAGGAGAGTCCTTGCTGTCCTGTGCCCTCCCGGCTTCTGCCTGTCCCGGGGCGAGGCAGGATCCTGGGCTGTGTCCCCAGCGCCCTGTGCTCCGGGGCCTGCGCTGGTGGAATCACGCTCCTGCCCGCAGCCCCTTTTGCTGGGACCCTCTCCCGGAGCTGCCTCTGAGTTGCCCCCGGGCCTGCGGGGTACCAGCTGCAGCCCTTTAGGGAGCTCGGCGCACTCTCCCCAGGGCGCAGGTGTCTGTTAGTGTCCCAGGGAGCCTGAGGTCATCCCCGCCCTCCTGGGTCCTGCTCTAACTCCCTGTGAGCCCCTTTCTGTCTGGGAAGGTTGGTGAAGCTCCTGCTTCTCCGGGCAGGGCTTTCCTGTCCTGGGGACACTCGCCCTGGCCTCAGCCCGGCTCCTCGTGGGGCCCCTCCCTCTTGGAGGCCTTTTGTTTCTTTATTTCTTTCTTCCCCGTCTTCCTACCTTGATAGAAGCGTGAACTCTTCTCACTGTAGCATTCCAGCTGTTCTCTCTTTAAATCTCAGGCCGCATTCGTAGGTTTTCAGGATTATTTGAAGGTTATCTGGGTAATTTGGTGGGGACAGGTGACTTGGGGACCCTACTCTTACGCCATCTTGCCCCGCCTGGAAAACATTTATATTTACTGATTTATTATAAAGAATACTGGTCAGGAAACATTATATGGTCTCAATCATTTGGAGAATATAAAAAATAGTGAAAGGGAATAAAGGGGAAAGGAGAAAAAAAAAGTGGGAAATATCAGAAAGGGAGACTGAACATGAAAGACTCCTAACTCTGGGAAACTAACTAGGGATGGGGGAAGGGGAGGAGGGCAGGGGGTGGGGGTGACTGGGTGGCGGGCACTGAGGTGGGCACTTGACAGGATGAGCAGTGGGTGTTATTCTGTATGTTGACAAATTGAACACCAATAAAAAATAAGTTTATTAAAAAAAAGAATACTGGTCAGGAACAACTGAATGGAAGAGATGCATAGGGCAAGGTGTGGGGAAGGCACAGCTTTTCTGCTCTTCATGGGCTAGTAACTCTCCTAGCACCTGGATATGTTCACCTTGTTGTTCAGGAGTTTTTATAACACAGTCTCCATTCTCTCCCTGGATATTAAGGTTGGATGGGGCTGAAAGTACCCACCCTTTAATCAAAGCTTGGTCTTTGTGATGACCAGCTGCATGCTGGCAACCTGAGGTGATCTAGAGGTCCCTTCCTAAGTCACCTCACCTCATTGGAATAACTTCTAGTATGCTCAGAAGGGGCTCTGTATGAATATTAAGAGACACTTCTATCCTCAGGGAATTCCCCTGGTTTTAGAAGGCCTGTGCCAAGAACCTGGGACATAGACCAAATATGTTTCTTGTTATAATACCATTGTGTACTTAAAAAGAAAAAGCAAAGAAAATATTCCCTTTTTTCTCTCTCACTCTCCTGCTGTAAATATCTCATGCATGTGCATTCACACATACTTCAAAAGTTTCCTTGGATTCAAGGCAGGTGCTAATGAGGCCAGTTCTCAGATCCATGGAAGAATTGGGGTTCCTGTGGTGTGTTTCAGATCCAGGACCCCTTCCTCCCTTGTGTGTCCCCATAATAACCCTATATAATTAGGTCTTGAAGATTTAATGAGGAAAGATCCCACAGAAATGGGAAGAGAAGGAAAAGAATAGATTCTTCCAGGTGATCTGGGAGTATTGCTCTGATAATAACTCCAGGTAGAGGATCAAAATAGAACTGAATGCCTAGACACCCAGTTGGTGTCCAGAGAATCAGATAATTTGTTGTTGGTGTAAAAGACAGCATGTACTTAGTGTCAGAAAACTCCATACATATGTGTTTTGAAAATTCTTCCAGTCAACTATTTTGATCTTAGATGAAAAAAAATGGGCCTCATTTCTAGGTTGACACTTATTATCAGGTACCAAACAGTTTGGTTGATGCCCAGGCATTCCTGCAAACCAGTTTCAACAAGTCTGGCTCCCTGGTACTGTCCTTTCCCTTCTCTTCCTTCTCCTCCCCTGTCTTCCAGTAACTAACCACATCAAGTAGAAATATCAGTGGGGTGACTTTCCATCCTAAATGCCCCAGACGATTCTTCAGCACATTATACATCACCAACTCTTCATTCGCAGAAGCTCATGGCTGTAAAGTGACATTACTCACAGGCTGTTGGCTCTCATCTGACTTCAGATGGCCCCAGAAGTGGGACAGCCTTTCCGGATGCTTTTCTGTTCTCTCTAGAGGATGGTGAGATCTCTGGGACATGCACTGTGATCCACTGCCCGTGGGCTGCAATTCCCAAATCTCAACAGCTTTGAAAATTAAAGGGTTTTTGTTTTCCGTGATGTTGTGTTTGTAACTTTGCATCAAACTCATGGAGTTTAAAATCAAACTGAAATAGATATTAGTGGGGGCATTTATTTTTCTGACTTAGTGTCAGTATGCATGTTTTCTTGCAGAAATAATAATACGTTTGATTATGGAGAGTTGCCTCAGTCCCAACTAGATATGTTGCATCACATACCTTTCTAAGTCTGAGAAGGTCTGATCTCCAGAGTACAAGTGGCCCCAAGGAGACCACATATAGGATGGGGCCTTTCCTGGGGTCTGCCCTGATTGTGGCATATTTATAGGAGCTGCTGAGTCCAAATGGGCCAGCCTTGCAGCCCTGGCTTGGTGATGCTATTTGTATAGCAGCTGTAGGTGGGAACCTACCTAACTAGTCTTTACAGAGCTAGTGGACCCCAGGTCGGACTGGGGTGTGTGGTCCTGGGACAAGGGACCCCAGGTATGGAAACACACCTGTGCTGGTGTATTTATTTCCTCAGTCCTCATCTGCACCCTTGTCTTGATTCAGTGTTTTACCATCAAACGAGTGTTTGCATTTTGGGGTTGTGGCATCAGAAGCACTATTCCTACATGAAAATAAGAACTCCATTCCAAAAACACACCCTCCTTAGAAGGTTCTGAGAGGTTCCCTAGCAGCTGCACAAAATTGTTTCATGGAAATAAATATTCTTCATTTTTCCAGCTTAGTTCTTTTCTGATTGAAATAAGTGAATTTATTTTTCCTGAGTGTCCCTTCAGTGGAGAACTTTGAAAGCAAAACAGTTACTCATTTGGCTAGAAAAAAACCCATCTGCTGTGGGAGGGGAAGGCTTGGGGGCATGCAGTGGACCGGAATTAGCTTTAATGCTACTGTCTGAATGTGGTCATGGTGACAGCAGGATCTTAAATGTGGTTTTTATACTATTCATGGTCATTTAAGAAGAGATTATTTAATTCCCAGTTTCCTTATATTTTGTAGATAACAATTCACTTATGTAAATAAGTATCTGGATCTTTTTTTTTGGCTTTGAATGTAACTAATAATCTCCCTTAAGAAACATTAGTAGACAGGAAAACAAAGTGCTACTAATGTCATTGTCTGTGTCAGTCTTGGACAGATCACTATTTACAATGGAATATGTCAGAATATCCAGGCGTGAAGACTGTTCGTTTCCCAGATGGCCTGATTTGGAAGCCAGACATTCTTCTCTATAACAGGTAAGCACATTGGACAAAAGGAAGAATGATTTTATTCTTGCATACATGTAACAACCAAGTATATTTGAGTATTTTATAGAAACATCAGACACATTATCTGTAGTTTGGGATCATTGCTGCCCATGATGCTTTGTGAATGGCCAGGCATTTGAAAAGCATTCTGTCCCCTTCTCCCATGTTCTCTGCCTTGGCATGCAGGCTTGTGTTACTTAGCACTCTCCCTGTGATGGCCATGTTTATAGGGCTGTGCATTATAGGTACATATATACTTTTATGCATAATGACACTGAGGCATTTTTGCATGTGTAAGTACCTTTGCACATGAATGGTAGGATTATTGTCACAACATAAGTTTCTGGCCCATAGCATGCATGACTGGTCCACTGTTTGAACACAAGTCCTTATTTAATGCATTCCCCAGTGTGCATTGGGAAAGCCCTGCTGCCTGTAGCTGAGTGCATGAGGTTGTCACCTCTAGCTGTGCTTGGAAGCTTGTGACACAGGTCAAGTACTTGACCAAAAGGCATATGACAGTCATATTCTAATAGTCCTGCTACTGATATCAAGAAATGAGGGGTTCATCAGTAATCCAGTAGAGTCTGATTTGTAGACCAGATGCCCAAAAGGCAAGTATACAGGCAGGGTAAATTTCTAGAAGCACTAAGATTTTTGGCTAAATTACATATTCAAAATAAGGGGATCCAGACCGTCCCTTCCCAGTAAGATCTAGAATGTGATGACAAACTTAATATAAAAGAAATATATTTCCTAGGGTGACTGCTGTCTTTGGTCCTACCTGGAAGAGAAGACAGAAGCCCCATGCCTTCTTGATTTAGGAAATAGTGTGACCATTGGCCACTCCCCATGATTTTCAGGGACCAGCTGATGTGTTTCTCCTACACTGCTTTTAGGGGGCTGGGTGATTCTTTATCTTGTATTGACTTTTAATTCTCTTTCTTACTGGCGATTACATTTCATTGGGATCATTGGGCCTGTTTCTAGAAGAATATTATTCCCTCCTTATTTGCTGCCACTTTTCAGCTTCTTAAGTTCTGGTGCTTGAGCTTTGCAATATGTATAAAGTCCGAGTCAGTGATACCCTACTGAATAGGTGGAGCACATGGAATCCCATGTGCTCACTTTGGATCATCAGTCTGCCAGTGCTGCCAGAATAAAATACCACAGATTGAGTGACTGAAACAAAAATTTGTTTTCTCACAGAAATGTATTTTCTTTTGGAGGCTGGAAGTCCAAGATTAAGGTGTTAGCAGATTTGGTTTCTTTTGAGTCTCCTCTCACCTGTAGAAGTCCATCGTCTGTGTCTTAACATGGTCTTCCCTCTGTGAATGTCTGTGTTCTCTAATCTCTTCTTGTGAGGACAACTGTCATATTGGATTAGGGCCCACCCTAATGACCTCATTTTAACTTAGCTTCCTCTTTAAAGACTCTTTCCAAATACAGTCACACACTCACATACTGAGGTATGCTAAGATATGAACTAGGCCTTCAGCAAGTGAATTAGGGGTGGGGGACAAGTTCATCCCCTCATAAGTGGCATTGCTGTTGGCTGCTTAAGGACAACGAGCTCTTACAATGAGAATTGGAGAAGTCTGGGTGTGATCTTAGCTATAATATTTACTATGTGTATAACTGTTAAGTCTCAGACTTCTCCTTTGCAAAATGGAGGAGATGCCAGCTTCACAGAGTTTGGAAAGGATAACCCTGAGGATGTACCTAGCATGCTTAGAGTGGTACTTGGCAAAGATCAAATGTCAGTGGTACATTTACAGTCATGGTATTGAGCATCTCTGCTTGGAGTAAGATGGTATGACTTTAGAAAGAACTGTCAGTGGTTTTGCATTGTGCTTAATTTAGTTCTTTTTCATTTGAAGTCAAGAATAAATACTACAATGTGGTAAAATCTTTTTTTTAAACTTTTTTTTTTTTATGATAGTCACACACAGAGAAAGAGAGAGGCAGAGACATAGGCAGAGGGAGAAGCAGGCTCCATGCACCGGGAGCCCGACGTGGGATTTGATCCCCCGGGCCAAAGGCAGGCGCCAAACCGCTGCGCCACCCAGGGATCCCACAATGTGGTAAAATCTTAATGGGCTAGAGAGATGGTTCTTATGGCTTATGGAACTTCACACCCTAATAAATACAGTGATTGTTGATTCTAATGTTCTGGCTAATGAAGAGTTACCAAGTATTCTATATAAACTGAATTTCAATGAGCAAAGGTACAGTCTCCACCTGTTGTCCCCAGGAAGCAGGCCCTCAGAAGTAATAATACCCCCCACATGTCTGACCCACCCAGTGGTCCCAGAATCCATTTCCTCTCATGTTTCCCCTTGAGTTCTGACTTTTTTTTTCCTTCCTCTTTTCCGCATCTCCTTATTGGCCACATCTATTGGCTTCCATCATGGAATCTGTAGAGGCTGCCTCTTCTGATTATTTTTTCTGAGAAATGGGATGTAGAATCTCCTTTCTGAAGTAACTGCTAAATATATGGCTTGCATGTCCACAAAACCATGGTGTAGCATAAGCAGGTTATAGAATATATTCGAAGCCAGTCATAGACATGGTGTTATTTATCTTTTGCTGCTTGACAGACTACCCTGAATTTGGTGTCTTAAAAAAAAATGTATGCATTATTACTTCTCACCATGCTGTGGGCTGACTGGACCCATGTGGCTGCCTGTCTGTGTATGTGAGTTGTTGGCCAAAAGCAGTGACCTGGGAGCAGCAGTGTGGAGGGTTGCACCCCCATGGCTGGCAGTGATGGCAGCTGTTGGTGGGAGCTCCACTGGGGCTGTCACTTGTGCCACTCAGCTTCCTCTAGGAGACTTTTCCACTTGGCACAGGCATCCCTCAGTGTGGTGTCAGGGAGTACTCAGAGAGGAAGGAAGTGAGGGCCACCAGGCTCTGTAGGCCTTCAGACTTAAGACTCCCAGAGCAGCCCCTTCACTACACTCTGTTGAACAGAATAGGCAGGGACACAGCCTGGATCAGGGGAGCAGAAGTCAACCTCCCCTCTCCAGGGCATATAGGGAGAGAGGGAAAGGAAGACAAAGATGTGCTTTATGGAAGGAAAGTGATGAAGCAGGAAAGCCAAATTAGAGAGTTGGGGGAAGGGATGAAGGACCAAAACAGACATTTGTAATGAAGGAACACTCAGCATCGTGGAGGGACCTGTAGGAGGAAGAGAGAGCACAAGAGGCAAGCAGAGAGAGTTACTAAACACAAAGATATCACCTTTCTCCCTGCCTCCATTCACTGGTTTTTCCCTGTGTCTAGACACAAGTCACATGGCCTTGCCCCAAAGGTGGGAGTGGCCCGGCCCACCCCCTGCTGCTGCCTCTTACACCTGCTGCTTCAGGGCTCTTTCCTCTTTCCTACTACTGTCTGAGCTCTTTCCTACTACAGGACATCTTCATGAGCTCTCCCCTGTTAAAGTGGAATGCTCACCCTTCTTTCATCCCTTGGACCTCATCTTGGCACCCTATCCCACTGAGTTCTTGGTGTGTCTCTCTGTCAAGCTCTGTCACAGAAAGGGATTCCTGTCCCCCATAGCACATGGGGTCAGCCACTTCTCCTGGGGGTCTAGAGAGTGCTTAATATTTGTGCATGGACAGGATGGAAGGATGAAGGGAGGATACAGGAATTAAGAGGAGGAGGGAAGAGGTCAGGTGACATGGGTACTGCTAAGTGCAGCAAGAGAAGAAAGGAAAGAAATCATATTGGCAAGCTGGAAAACATGAACCTGTGACTGAGCCAAAAAAAATTGACACAGGAAGTAGAAAAAACAGGCTTGAATTTGATAGGATCCTGACCTTCTGATAGTCTGTTTTGGGGGATTTTGAAAGATGTTGAGCTTAATATTTTCTGCCAGCTTCCAGGCACTCTAAATGGTACATTCTCTCAGTAGGCTTTCGTGATGGTTCATTAATATGTTGTGTTTGCAGCAGGAGCTTTTCCTTAAGAAGGGGGATATGCCATCACTCTGTGTAAGCCATGGTTTTGAAAGGAGCATTGATTCAGGTCAGGGGAAGAAGCATCACAAACATGTCCATCACATTTCTTGCTCTTTCTGGCTTCATAATGGAGTGTGAGCCACTAATGGTTTTGGGGATATAATACATTTTCTGTGCTTTCAGGAGGCTGGGTCATTGTAAAACTGCCATCTCTGCATCGTTTCTGGGATGGGCTGCTTTATTTTCCTGATGGATGGTGAACAAGTTCCAATGCTGCCAGCCAGCTGGCCAGGTTGCTCTGAGGAGAGGACGGGTGCTGATAAAAGCATCCCTGCCAGATGATGATTCCAGTGTTTTCTTGGTCGTTTTATTCTGCTTTACTTTAAGCCTGTAGATCAAGGGCTTTTCTGAACATGGTCTTACTCAGAGTGAGTAGCATTGTGGCTAGCTTTTCATGATTTTCCCATTTGGACAGAATGAAAGGCATCATTTATATCAGCAGGTGGCTGGTGGAAGAAAGCCTGAGCCACAGTGACACCTTGGTTTTCCCTGCACTGTGTAGCCACAGGCCAGTACCTCAGCCTCTCTGGGCTTCTCCATTCTTGAGCTGTTCATTCAGTAGTAATAGTAGAATCTTTGTTATGCATGGACCAAGTGTACACTGGTAGCCAGGGCCTCAAGCCTCAAGCCAGGCTGTTAATGTTTAGTATAGGCAGCTATCAGGGCCTTGGGCCTTGGGCCTGAGAAGGACAGCTTTTGACATGTTTAGCTACAGAACAGATGAATTGAACACTCACATTTCAGTTGTTGACACCTTGGCCTGATTGAGTTTCCAATCCTGGCTCTTGATGTGGAAGACAAAAGTGATGTGAGTAGGAAGGAGAGCATCATAAAGACTAAGTGGGTTTCTCAGTGAAAGCAGAGAGGAGACAGGCAGGTAGCAAAGGTAACAGAGAAGAGCCAGGATCTACATCCTTGTGAGTGACCATAGCCCCATTGTGGGCTTCATGTGTTATTATATCAGTG